AATAATATTTATAGATTCATAATAATAATAATAATAATAATAATAATAATAATATTGGGTTAACCCTAATCATGTTAAATTCATGATTTATCAATTTTTTATTTTTCTGGTTTTGAAATTTAAATTTTTTTTTTTTTGTCATTTTCCCGCTCTTTTTTTTTGCTAATCTTTTTTTTTTTTTTTTTTTTTTTTGAAAACGTGCGACATTTATAAAAAATTATAAAATGAATAAAAATAATAATAATAATGATGATAATAAATAAATAAATAATTTTTATTTCTTTTCATATAATAAAATAATCGAAATAAATAAGAAAAATTTGATTTTCTCCTTGATTTTTATTTGTATTGAAAATTAATGATAATAATAACAATGTTTAAAATGAAAAAGAATAAAGAGAGGGAAAGAGAAAGAGAGAGAAAAAGAAAAGGGGGAGAGAGAGAGAGAAAGAATTATTCCAATAAAACTTTTTTTTTTTTTTAATTTCAAAAGAAATTTTCCCTTTTCCCACTTTTCCACTTTCTCTCTTTTTCTCTCCTTTTCCGTCTCCTCCAAAAAAAATCCTAAAATTTAGTCTGGAATTTATGGTCGTCGACCTTGTTATCCTTTTCACATAATAAAAAACCTTTTTTTTTTTGTGTGTGTTCAGAAATGAAAATTATCAGATTCATTTTATTTTTTATTTGTCGTTACCGAACCGACCGACCACACTTTGCGACCCGTATGATAAAATCCTATATTAATTCACCGCCATTATTTGTTTTTTGCCTGCCCCCCTTCTCCCCCCCCCTTCTAAACTTATTTGACCTCTCGATGAATTTTCGATTTTTATCAAATTCGATTTTTTTATATTTTTCTTCAAAAAAGAAACGATAACGTACCAAGTGGGGGAAGGGGGAATGGGATGGGTTTTCACGCGTTAAATCCAAGCACACAAGCGCGCGAACCGTAGAGTAATTTTATTATTATTATCATTTCAATTTTGTTTTTCCACGTGATTTCGTTATTGTTGTTGTTGTTGTGTTTGTTCTTTAATTGATTAAAAAAAAAATTTTCTTTCTGCTGGAACTAACTAAAGGTAAAAAAAAAAAAAAAAAAAAGAAAATCGAGGTTAAAAAACATTCGGTTGTTATTTTGGCGACCTATCAAATAATATATTTGAAAATATGGCGCCAAAACAATTTCAAACGTTACTGTGGAGAAAATAAGAAAAATATGAAAACTTATAAAATTAATGATTTCATGTTTTCTATGCGATAATAATAATAATAGTAATAATAATAATAATAATTTTATTTTTTTTGTATCGTTTCAAATATTAAAAAAATAGTAATAACGATTGATATTTTATTATTATTATTATTTATTTATGTCGATATAATTATTTATTAATATTATTATTATTATTATTATTATTATTTTGTTTTTTTAGGTACCGAAAAAAACTGAAAATATAAAAAAAAACAAAAAGAAAAAATGTTTAAAAAATTTTTTTAACATTTTTTAATGGCGGAAAATTTCACGACATCGATTTGTATATTTTTATTTTTATTTTTATATATATTTTTTTTTGTTACGCGATAATAAAAAATTTTTTTTTTTTTCATTTTTACGTGTAAAATTTATGTTTTTAAAAAGGGGGGGAGGAGGAGGAGGGTGGAGAGTTTAAAAGGTTATAGTTGTATAAAAATAAATCGATGAAAACAAAATAAGTAGAAAATGAAAATGAAGAAAAGAGTAAAAAAAAAAATTTAATAAAAGGAAAACTTTTACCTGATTTGTTTATAATGAAAGTCAGAGAGAGAGAGAGAGAAAGAGAAGGGATGAAAATTTGTGGAAAAGAGATGGAAAATTGTTGTTGTTGTTTTTGTTTAAAACATTATTTGTTGTTGCAAAATAAAGTGTAGTAAAAGTTTTTTATGAAAAACTTTTCTTTCTTTGAATCATCAAATGAAAAAACATTTGTTGTTAAAATTTTAAATATTTTGCCGATGGAGCAAAAGCCAAAAGAAAAATTTTATTATCATCATCATCATCATTATTATTATTTTTAAAATTATTTTTTAGTTTCCCTCGTTTGTTTGTTTGTATGTTTGTTTTTTAGACTTGATTTTGTTTGTTTTAGTTTTTAATTTTTTAAATAAATCGAAGGTTTTTCCCAACCTTTACAAAAAAAAATGACAAAACTTACGAAATAGATTTTTTTCTATTTTACTTTCTCTCTCTTTTTCTCTCTCTCTGTCACTCTTATTTATTTTACACATTATAAACATATATATATATAACAATGTTTGTTACCTTTTTTTTTTTTGCCCCCCTCCACAACAGAATAAATTTTCCATTCGATTTTATTTTTCTTCGCGGTTACCTTTCCCCCAAAAATCAAATTTTTTTACCGGAAATAAAAAAAAAAACAAATTTAAACGTTTCCGATAGATTTCTTTTTCCTTTCCCCTTTTTCCTTCGGCCCCCTTCTTCCCCTCCCTTACTTCCCTCCTCAGAAAAAAAATATTTAAAATAATAAGTCTCGATAAAAAAAACTTTTTCCATTTATTTTCTAATCGATGTAATTAATTTTTTTTACAATTTTTTTTTGTGACACGTTTCGTAAATTAAAATCAAAATAATAATAATAATAATGATGATGTTGTTGATGATGATGATGATGATGATGTTTTTCGTTTAATTTAAAAAAAAAAAAATGATACAAACCTTAAATTTGTGGGAAAAAATTTTTTTTTTATTTTTTTTTTACAAAATGGTTTTGATCAATTATTCTGCTTCACGTTGCAGAAAAATCGACGACGTGAATTTTTTTACGTAAAAAAATTTTGATTTTGCTTTAAGGTTTTTTCGCCATTTTCTTTTTTTTATCTTTTTCTTCTTCTTTTTCTTCTTCCGGGAAAAATACAAAAAAAATAAAAATAGGGAAAACGAATTTTTTTTACGTGACGTTCATTTAAAAAAAAAAAAAAATTATTTATTTAGATTTTAATTAAAAAAAAAAAACAATTTCAATTTAATTTAATTTAATTGACCCAATTACCTGCGGTTTATTTTTTTTTTTTAAATTTAGTTTTAAGTAATAATAATAATAATAATGATTTTTTTTTTTATTCGAACGTTTATTATTATTATAATCGACAAAAAAATGGCGACGATATTTGAAAAAAAAAAATTTTTAAATTACACTTTTTTTAAAAAGAATAATAATAATAATTAACTGATAACGTTTGAATTATTATCATTTAATTTATTATCATAGAGTATAATATTTTGTCAGATTAATTCTGGTACGAAACTCTCGAATTGAAACAATAAATTGGGTTAAGATAATAATAATAATAACGACGACGACATCTTCTTTTAATCTTTCCCTTTTTTTTTTTTAAATTTTTTTTTTTTTAAATATAAAATTTTTAAATCTTTTATTTATTTAATAATATATTTTATGTTTAAAATAAAATTATTATTATTATTAATATTAACGTATTCGATGCGGTTTTTTTCTCTTTTTTTTCAATATAAAATGTAAATTTTGATATTATGCGTTAGACGAATCAAATAAATTGTTTTTTAATGTTTTAAATCTGTTTACAAAAAAAAAAAGGAAAAACATTATTGAAAATATTGAAAAGGATTTACATTTTATTTATATATGAACATTTACATTAGTCGCTACGAAACAATAAATTTTTTTTTTATTAAAAATTTTCCTGATATTTTAAAAATAAAATAATAATGGAAATAATAATAATAATGATAATAATAAAGATTGAAACAGAAGCGTTTATTATAACTGTAAAAGGTTAGGCATTGCGGATTTGTAATTACGAAGAGGTAAGGTCCACCAAGATGAATGCCCCGGCCGAATTTGTCAATCGCAGTCGGAAACCGTCGACCATTTAATTTCCGGTTGTCCGATATTGGAAAAACATGAATATCTGGAGAGGGACAATAAAATTTGTCAATATCTCCGCTGGAGAATCTGCCGTAAATATGGATTATCCAAGGAGTGGTACAACCTCATTCCAAGCCCGGTTACGACAGCGGGTTCATGCACGGTTCTGTACGATCAACAAATTCACACTGATAGAACTGTACCAGCCAACGAATCGGATATCATCCTGAGAAGCATAATGCGGAAAAATGGTGTAAATTAATTAAAGTATCCGTAACGGCGGGAAAAAACACCAGAAAGCCAAAGAAGCGGACAAAAGGCTGAAATAACCAGAATGTGAGGAGTAAAAACAGTATTCCGGTCATCGTGGTAGCACTGGGAGCCATGCCACATTCATCAAAAGAAAATTTGAAGAAGAATTTAAAAGAAAAAACCATACAGGAAATGGCGTTATGTGGGGGGCAGCAGCAGCACTAAGGAATCGAACAGAAACCCGAAATGAATGCTTACAAAAACTCCGACAAACATTTAAAATCTTTTCGTCATCAAAACTGATAACAATAATAATAATAATATTTATTTTATTACGTCACAAGAAAAAACAACTTATCGGAAAATTGATTTCGAAATAAAATGTAAACAAACAGAGGCAGAAAATTTTTTTTTTTTTTTTATTGGATTTTAAAATTTAAATGTCCAATTTAAAGGGATTTGATTGGTCGTAATTTTTTTTTTTAATTCGTCAATACCGAATCGTAAATACGAAGATAAACGATGATTCCCGATTTTCATTCTGTTTTTTTTTTTTAAATTAATTATTAAAATGGGATAACAAAAAAAAAAGATTTTTTTTTCTCTCTCTCTCTCTTTTCCCGTTTTCCACTCCCCCCCCCGTTTTTTTTTTTGTTATTAAATCGATTAGATGAAGTTAATGAACTTTTTTTCTTTTATTTTCGGGGGCCATTAATTTTTTCGTTTTTTTTTTTTTTTTTTATTTTGTCGCAAATTAATCGAATTTATTCATGAATATTTAACAGTATAGCCATCAAAAATTAATTAAAAATAATTTTTTTTCTCTTTTTGTTTTGTTTGTTACAGAATTTAAAAAATCAAATAATGACAACAAATCTTTGGGTCGAACAGGTAAGAAAAAATTTTTTTAATTTCGAAAATATTGTTAGTTAACCCAAGAAAATTTTTTATTTACGTGCGTAAAAATGTGTGTGTGTGTTCAAATCCGTGCATGCGTACGTGCGTGCGTGATTGTGGGATGTTGCTGACTCATCAGAAAGAGATGAGATGGAATTTTTATTTTAATAAAACGTTCATTTATCATACTTCCCCCCTCTTCCTCTCTCTCTCTCTCTCTCTCTCTCTCTCGGTTATAGACACATAACGGGGTAAACGCACTCTCATGCACGCACACACACGCACACGCACAAAAAAAAATGTTTTTTTTATTATTATTTCTTTTTTTTTTTTTTTTATAGTCTTGGTACGACTATAAACTACGTTGGGATCCGAAAGAGTATGGGGGCGTACACATGTTACACGTACCATCGGATCACATATGGAGACCTGATATCGTTTTATACAATAAGTAAGTTAAAAAAACAACAACAAATTATTATTATTATTAACAACAAGGATATTTTCTTACAGGGGGTATAATTTTAATAATTAATACAAAAAAAAAAGGGTTGAAAGAAGGTGGTGTGGAAAATGTTTTTATTTAAAACTCACTCACACTTTTCACCAGATGATTTTCTATTTTTTTTTTTTTAAACCGCCATTAACCGTTTTTGATAAATAAAATTAATTTATTATTAATATTACTTGCCTCGTGGAAATAATAATTAACACCGTAATAATTTTATCTAAAGGATTTTTCCTTCTCTCTCTCACTTTTAATATCATCAAGAATATTTTTTTTTTTGAGTTTAAATCATTTGGGGATTTTATTTAACGTGTCAGTAGAAAAATTATTAACAGTCCGAAAATGCTCAGTATAAAAGGGAAAATTTTTAATGAAACATTAGATGATTTTTTTTAAGTTTAATGGAAGAAAATTGAGAAAGTAAACCTCATCGTTCTCTATTGAAACGTTTTTTTTTTTCTTTTTTGTTTTGTTTTCCGCCCTTAAAAAAAATTTAGGACGAATTTTTTTTTTGTTTTGTTGGTAAAAGATGAAAAGAGAAAAATTACGTCTACGGGGTTACAAAAAAATTTTTTTTTCACAAAAAATTGTTTATGATTATGATGATACGAATATTGTATTTTTCTCATGTTTTACCGCCATATTGTATCGTTACGAAATAATAATAATAATAATAGTAAAAACTTAATAATTTTTTATATAGATAAAAATAAAAACTCGAAATCAAATTTTTTTTAAGAGAGAAAATGATGAGAGGGAAAATTAATTGGATTATATTTGTTATACGGATAACGTTTTTTTTTTCTTCTCCACACGCACACACACACATACTATGAGATTAATTGTTTTAAATTACTTAATATTTTTCCTTTTTTTTATTTTTCCTTGACGTCGAGATAAAAAAAAATATATATATAACAATTTATATAAAAAATCGGACGTCGTATATATAAAATATTCATTTTATACTTAATACGTTATCAGTATAATTTAGTTTAGTTTTACAATTTAAAGATTTTTTATTTTTAAATACTAAAAAACTATATTATAATTTAAAACTAACTTTTTTGAAATTTTTTCTGAGATTACACAGAATAGAAGAATAAAAAGTTTTTTTTTTTTTTTTCGGGGGAGGGGGAATGTTGATGGAGGGAGAGAAATGAAAGAAAGAAAAAGAGGAGGGAGGAGGGGAGGAATATAAAACTTAATCCCGACAAAAAAAAAAAGTTATAATTTCTTATATTTTAAAGTGTAGGTAAAAAACATTTTGTCGAAAATATTTTTCACCATTTTTATTGTCTTACTTCGAACGTTTCGTATTATAACGAAAAGAAAAGTTTTTTACATTTGTATTAAGATATATCTGACATTAGATTACGCGAAAAAAACAAAAAAAAAATTTTTTTGCATTTTTTTGCATTTTTTTTGATAAAAACCACCTAAAATTCAAAAAAGAAAAAGTTATTTTTTTTTTCCTTTTAAATTTTAACGATAAAAAATATATATAGATATTTTTCTTATTTCTCTATCTCTCTCTCTCTCTCTCTCTTTGTTCGTCGTTTTCTCACTTTTTCATTCGTCATTTTCTCTCTTATAAAAAAAAAACTTTTTTTTTTTTTTTTTTAAACAGGAGAAAGCTTTCAAGAGTGAAAAAAAATAAATAAAATAAAAATAAACAAAAATTGATTTTTTTTCTTTTTCATTTTGACACGACATAAATACCTAATCATCACATCTTCTCTTTACAAAAAAAAAAAAAAAAAAATTGAAATAAAAAAAAAAGAAAAAAAAAAAAAACATTCTAAAAAAAAATAAAAAGAAACAGAGAGATAGTGAGAGAGAGAAGGAAAAGAGAGGGAAAAGAAAAATTTTTTTTCAAAGAGGCCTTATTTTAATTTTTCCCTCCCCCCTTTTCTTTTTTTTTTTTAATTACAATATCAAAAAAAAATTATTAATTTATTTATTTTTCCTTTATTTTATTACCTCCTCCCCGAAAGGGCGAAGAGAGGGAGAAAAAGGGATAAGAAGGGATAAAAAGGAAAACGAAAGTAAATGAAAAAAAAAAATTTTTTTTTTATTTTTAATTTTTAATTGTTTTTCATAACAATGGCGGTAATTTTAAAATTTAAAAAAAATATTTTGTTATCAATTTTATCATTTACAACAATTTGATCACGTGATTAATTATAAATCACGTGACTATAATAAAACGTTAGATAAATAAAATAATAAATGCGTTATGTAAAAAGAAAAAAAATTGCATGAATGCAACTACTAATGCCATTTATGTTTCAGATTTTATTAAAAAAAAAAAATTCGTTTTCGTTTATTTATTATCATTATTATTATTATTATTATTATTATTATTATTATTATTATCATTATTATCATCAACACTTCGTGAGACGATTTTAATGTTAATAAATAATTGAAATATAATAGCTGACTACTGCTACTTTTTATTAATTGTTCGTTGTGTAAAAGAGTTTCGTTGTCATTTAATTACTTTTCTCTGATCTCATGAGTAAATAAGGGAGACGGAGAGGAAGATGGAGGTGGTGGTGGTGGAGGAGGAGGAGGAGGAGGAAGAGGTGGTAGTCAGTTAAAAAAAAAAAATAAAATGTTACAAAAAATAAAAAATTTTCAGCGCTGATGGTAACTTCGAAGTAACACTTGCAACAAAGGCAACAATATATCATCAAGGACTCGTCGAATGGAAACCTCCGGCTATATATAAATCCAGTTGTGAAATTGATGTCGAATATTTTCCATTCGATGAACAAACGTGTGTATTAAAATTTGGTAGTTGGACTTATGATGGTTTTAAGGTAAGAAGAGTCCCCCCCCCCGTTTCCCCTAAAACAATAACAAAAAAAAAACGAAAAATATTTATTTATTCTATGGAATGTTTTTTTTAATCTCTATCTACTCTATTTTTTTTTTTTTTTATTTAAACACGATAATTTTAACCGATTAAAAAAAAAGTATTTATTTAAACACGAATATTTTTTTAATATAATAACCGCTTTGAATTAATTAATTAATTAATTAAAATAGCTTGTATGCTTTTAATTATTATTATTATTATAGCAAAAACGCATTGTAATTTTAATTCTTCTTATTTGAAATCTTTTTTTTTAATTATTATTATTATTATTATTTCGATTGCTTGTTCTTTTTTTATATAGATTTTTTTTTAAATAATATTGTATTTTATTATTATTATTATTAATTAAGAATTTTGTAAAATTTCGGGGCAAAATTTATTCACGATGGTGAGTGAGAGAGAGAGAAAGAGAGAGATAGAAAAATTCGAAATATTTTTTAAATTTTGGGTTTGAGTGCCGAAGAAAGGAAAAGTTGGTTTTCGAAAAAGAAAAACCTTTAAGCAAATTAAAAAAAAAAGAAAAAGAAAAAGAAAATTTTCTGGGAAAGATTTCGAATTTTTTTCTGGAATGTTTTATTTTTGGAAAAAAAAAAAAAAGGAAGAATTTTTTAAAGAAATTTAAAATCCACTCCCACCCTCCCCCTACCCTCTTCATCCTCTTCATCCTTCCCGTTCTCGTTTTTTCTTTTTTTTTTGACTTTGTAAATTTTTTCCCCTTTTTTTCCTTTTTTCTTTTTTTTTGGTATCTCTGATATTTAAAAAAAAAATTTTTTTTTGGTAAGAATTTTTGTAACCCCTTCCCCCCCTTCCCTTACCTTTTCCCCCCCTATCGTTCTTACTCTTTTACCTAAATTTAAAAAATGGCACTCGATAAGAAAAGTTTTTCTAAAAAAAATGTGAAAAACTTTATCAGGTTTTGTTAATGATTGACGTTTTATTTTTTTTTTTTTATATTAACCTCGAATAAATATTCAATCCGGTAAAAAAAAAAAAAAGGTTCATCTTAAAAAGGTTTAACCTTTTTTTTTTTTTTTAAATTAAGGTTTTTAAATTGAGCACTTGAAATTCTTTATCAAATTATTATTATTATTTTTCTTTTCGTTCCCTTCTTTCTCCCCCTTTTTTATCTTTTCATTTCCTCCCAGCCTTTTTCTTTCACCTTTCATTTTTTTTTTTTCATT